GTAATCTCTGCTGCACTAGTTTGTTTACCTTCCTGACTGAGGTATTAATAATTAAATGTGTTGTGATAAAAGCTGGTCCTTTTGCTAGAGGAGGTGGATTGAGGAAAAGCTCTTAAAAGATGGTTTCAAGCAATCTTCATATGAAAGATAAGGAATATAGAAGAAAACTGAGTATGAAAATATATCAAGACAGTAGAAAGTAATCATTACTTGCAAATGGACAATTATAACATGGAGAAGAAGCCCCATACCACTGGGCTACTACAGTAAAAACTAAGCCTTTCCTCAAAGCCTCAGATGAGACAGTAGGTCATGAGACAGTAGGCCAGCTACTCAGTCCTGGTTGGATTGAAGGGCTGTTGTTTTTTAAGGATGAGATTAGTGGAGAGTAAGACAAAACTACCTCCTTAGATGAGATCTTGGAATAACTGGTTTTTTTGTTTTTCTCCATTTTAAGCTACTTCTAGTTCTAATTAGAGTAGATAATACAAAGTTGATTATATATCAGATACATAATTTCACAGTGAGACTAATGTTTCTCTAATGACATATGCCAAAAAGTATACATGAATATAGCTCCTTTCCATCTGTAAGACCTATTACTGTAATTCTTTAATTATATAGAGCTGGTATCTACTTTAAATAGAAACTTTGTGTATGTCAGTACATTTCTAGTAGAAAATATGGCAAATGGACCTGTGTTTTTTTATAATTACTAATCTTAGGGAAACTTTGGTTAATTTAGGGTTTATTAAAACCTTATGAATTGCATAATCTCTTATTATTAGGAAAAAAACTATAATTGCTTTTTAACTAAAGTTTGGATAATTAAGTTTTAGTATTTTTAGTAAATTATTAAGACGAATACTAGTTATGTCCACAGTAAGGAAAACAATGAAGAAAATAATTGCTTTGTGGCTTACCCTGACAATCTGTCTTCATTTTTAAAAAACAAAACAAATAACTGGTGGCCATAAATAAATATGTCCTTGAATTTCTGTAAGTTTTCTTGGGACGATATATTTAACTCTCATAATGTGCTTAAACTGACATATGTCCATTTTTCACATTAAGAAATTAATAAGTTTAATTATTTTCCTGCTCCAGTAATTGCTCTTTATTTAATTACATATTTTATGGTATTATTGTTGGCTAGACACTTTAGACATTACTTACTTTCCTTAACTAGTAACAGTACTCTGAATTATGAGATGTTTGTGTGTATATGTGTGTCCATATACACATGGATACATTCTACATATCATGCTTATATGTAGGTATGTTACACATTTAAGTATTGTAGACTTCTATTCATAAACTCAAATTATTTATCCATTCATTGAAATATTTATTAAGCATCTACTATGGGTCAAGCCCTGTGTTCATCCTGAGTAAGACATGGCATCTGCTCTCAAGAAGCTAATATGTTAAACAAAACAAGCATATACAACAAGGACAATGAGTGAGCTATTTACAAAGTAATATGTAACTCTCCTTTCTGAGTACATACCGCAAAATAAACCATATCTTAAAACTATAATAATAATACACAAAAACAAACTGATGTAGTAGGTATATTCATCTTGCCTTCTCAAATCAAAACCTTCAGAGAGGGTGTGTGTGGGTATTGTCTATATGTGTACAGTGACTCTGAGACCATCTATGAGACATAGAAAATAATTTTATGTTATTATCCACCTTATTTATCTATATATTCATAGTTGCCCTACCCAGATACTAAGAAGCATTTAGGATCAATTCAAGTCATAAGTATACATTCGCAGTCAAGACGGTTCAGAAATGACGAAACTATGTAATTAGTGGGAAGCAGTTTTTACCTGGAAAAGTCATCAGACATCATTCCCGAAGCCTGAAAGTCACATTGGCCCTTCACTGTTTGTTCAGCTGATCATAAATCAGAGGTAACGTCATTTACATTGCTAAAAGAATTTGCTCCTGGTTTGGTGTAGTTTCTTTTACCTAAGAAAAGTTTGTTTGGCCTCCTGCATGAAACTCAACTAGAACTATCATCAAAATAAAAACATTCTCTTACTCATACATACATACACACATACACACAATATACACACACACACGTACACATTAAATCTAAAAAAATATGAAATTTTCTAATTACCTATTTCATTTGAGAATCAGGACTGATGTGCAAAACAAATTAAGGTATATTATTAACTTACCCTGACACACACATTAAATTACCTGACAAATCTGGGCACATTAGGAGAGTACCATCCTGTCATTATGGTTGACATAAGCCTATATGATAATAACCTCTTATCTTAGGTTTGTAGAATCTCAGTAAGAAAAATATGTATTTCAATGAAAATTAAATCCTGGCTAATATAGAGAACAATCACAAATAATTGAACTTTTTTGTATAGCAATTTTTAAGCAGCTAAATCTTTGCTTCTTTCATATTTCTTTGATCACAATTATTAGTATATGCTGATTGTTATTGGCTTACTGGTATAAAATGAAAAATGAGAACTGCAAACTCAGTTTTCTTCATTAATGAATACTAAATGACCTAAAACCAAAGCCAGATAACTCAAAAAATTCCACTGGTTTGCTTAAAGTATAACTACTAGAGTTTAAAATACCTGCTAATTGTTAACTGTTTCAATTTATTGCTTGACCAAGCAAGAATAAATGTATACACACCGATACAGATGTTGAGGTGACAGTTAAGATACTTTTACCTCAGTAAAATTCATACTGTAAATTTTAATACTTATAAACTTACAAAGTACTTCAAAATCAGTCACCAGCTTTCATAATTTGAATAACATTTTATCCTAAAGTCAAGTAAAACATATAATTTGGTTCCAGAGTTAAATTCAATGCAGTAGAATTTGATATGTGCTTAAAAATAATAAGCAACAATTTTGAACAATTTTCTATGCAGCAGGTACTATGCTAAGTGATTTATATGCATTACATAATTTTCATTAGAACCTTATGAGGTGGACTCTATTATTTCCAGAGAAGACTGAGGGATTTTAGTGAGTTAAGTAATTTGCTCACTTACTGTTAATAAGTGACAGAACTTGGATTGAAACCAAACCTTAGTGACTCCAGAGCCAAATTCTAGCTTATATTTGGTCTACTGTGGATTAGAAATTAAAAGGCCTGGAATGGAGTCTCAGTGTCAATCAATTATTAGTCTTGATCCCTTAGGAAAATCACTGAAGTGAGGTTCCATGGTGTCATGGTTAGCACTCTGGACTCTGAATTCAGGAAAATCCCTGAAGTTCTCCAAACCTCAATTTTCCAATATGTAAATAGAGCTAATTAAACATCCTAACTATTCTCATGGAGTTACCATGAAGATTTAAGAGATAATGTAAGTAAGAAAACTGTAGAATGCTCTACAAATATCATTTTATTACATTGTAATATGTTAACATTTTATAATTCCAAAGCGTTTTGTAGGGCTGAACAATGACATTAAATCAAATATTTTATCAGAGAAAGAGACTTTAGGAAGTTGCTGGAGCAATCTTTTCTTCTACTATAGGCAATTTTGAGCAGGTTGCCCAGGATGGCACAGAACAAGTATTAGAAAAAACATTCATTTTTTGTGAGTACCATGCTAAATGAAAGGGAAATCAGTGTTATGGACTGAATATTTGTATTTTCCCAAAATACATGTCTTGAGGCCCGAACCCCCAACATGACTATAGTCTGAGATAGGGCCTATGAGCAGGTATTAGTTAAATGAGGTCTTAAGAGATAGCCCTAATTCGATAAGGCCAGTGCCTTTATAAGAAGGAGATATCAGAGGCCTCTTTTTCTATCATGTAAAAACAAAGAAGGTAAAATTACCTGCAAGCAAGGAAGAGCTTTCTCTTCAGAAACCGAATTGGCAAGATCCTTGACCTTGGAATTCCCAATCTCCAGAAATGTGAGAAATAAATGTCTACTGTTTAAGTAAGCTGGTCTATATCATTTTGTTATGGAAGCCCAAGCCGACTAATACAACCAGTATCATGTTCACCCTTCATGTTCCCAATGTCACCCAATGGGCAGGGCCAACAGAGTCCTGTCCAGCTGTCAGCAGTGTAGTCTGATAGTGATCACATGAGGGGGTGATAACCTGCAGTTGGGGCCCACAAATGTAAGAATGTCCTAGGCAAGGTTAGCATAAACTGGGCTTATTATGAACTGCTTTGCCTAGAACAAAACTGTCTCTCAGCAGGTTACAGTAAATATCCTCAGGAAAACAATCAAGTCAAATCAATCAAAAAACATTCCCAGTGATGCAGTACCAAATCTGTAAGTATAAATTATTGCTAAAGCTTGAAACTGAATCCATGCAATGAGTAAATAGAACAAAAATTCTGGTTAACAAAATTACAACTGCGCAAACAGAATAATTTCTACATTAAAAATAAGTAACATAGTTTACTTTGCATCTTCCTGTTTTTTGACAGAGAACAGAGCCTTCTAAATAAATCTACCAGGGTTTCCTGAGCTTGAAAGGAAGCTAGCTGAAGCCATTACACATAAAAACAAGTACACTTTGAAATATTACTTCTGCAACTTATTTTCCTTAGGATGAATATAAATCTTATTTCTTGGGAGTTGCACTTTAATTTAAAAGAAGATAAAAAGTTTTCAAGTGCAAATATAACTTCCCAGAAAGGTCTAAGTCATAGTTGATAAAATGTTTCCACTTGCCTTTTCCTTTCACACTAATCACCTTCCAGACAACTTAAAGAGAACATCATTTTGTGAGCATTTATTCTATGTGAGGCACTACTCTACGTGCTTATGGCAGGCTCTGCTAGTTTTCTTGACAATCTCCACAATACCAGAAGTATTAGTTTAGAAGATTGCTTCCCAGCTGAAGAAAACATTTCCCAGCTCCCCTTGCAGCCAGTTGGGGCAACATGACTAGGTTCTGGCCAATGAGATATGAGTAGAAGTGATAACTTCCGGGTCATGCCCTTAGAAGGAAGAGTGTGGGGTGTGTTTCCTCTAGCCTTCCTCCTTCCTGTGGCCTGCAATGTGGATGTGGTGGTGAGGTGAGCATGACAAAAAATAAACGAAGACCAGAGGTAGCAAAGCAACAAGATGGAGTAGCCTGGGCTCCCAAAAAGCTGTTATACCATTCTTGGACTGTGAGGTGAGAACAAAACAAGCTTCTGTTTTATGAGAGCCACTGTATTCTTGAACTCTTGTTACAGTAATCTATCCTGTATTTTCATTAATAGAGGACTGTACATATACTTTGTGAGGTATTACTATCCAAGTTTTACTAAAAAATTGAGACTTAAAAATTTTTCTTACAATCACATAGGTTGTAAATGGTGAGGCTAGCATTTTAATCAAGTGCCTTTCCATCAGATCTTTTTTATACTATTAGAAAGAAAATTGCTAATTTTTGGAAAATTAGTATTGTGCAGCTTTCTAATCCCTGATCTATTAATCTCATAGGATTATAAAAAGCCTTAAGTTTCTTTGAATTAGAATCAGTGCTACAAACTCCTATTTTTCTAATAAAGTGCCTGACAGTCATTTACCAAGTCCTCCAGGACCTATCCTGCATAAAATGTTCCATTAGGAAAATTACGAAGAAAAAGTATGCTGACTCTCCTGGACTGTGAAATGAAGGGCAAGTCAGAATGCCCTTACAATTTAGAAAACAATACACTGGAAAATCACAATAACTCAGAAACTGATCAGAGGGGGTTTGGGTATGCATTTTCTTCTCCGGTATTATCCTCAGCTAAACACATAAATTTGTTTTTGGAAGGCAACATATATGCATTTATTCAACATTTGACAAATATCTATTGCAAGTCTACTCTATGTCAGGTACTTCTTTAGATACTAGGGAAATGGCAGGAAACAAACTAGACGGAGTCCCTGAATGCATGAGAATTATACTTAAACACATCTACTGCAGACAGTTTCCTATACAAGTGAAGCCTATAGGGGGTGGTTAATGTTTTTTTCATGGTTGGACTGGAGTTATAAGTTTTTTGAAAGAATACCAGAGATAAATTCCCTTTTAATCACTTCATACCAAGGGATAGATGATATTAATGATTTATCACTGGTGATGATAATGCTGATTGCCAACAATTCCTAGTTCTGTTTATTGGAGAATAATATTTAGAAATGCAGAACTGGGCATTAGGTGTAGTCATTGCTACTGGGATATGATTGTCTCCACGCTCTCTCAGTAAGTAATGTAACTTAAAAAATCAAATAATGTTTGAATGTCAGAACTAATGAGCTCCATTTCTGAAAGTCAACATTAAAATATAACAAATTCATTTAGGAATATATACATGTACATATGAATACACATGTATACACAGACTAATTTAGAGGTGGTTAAATAATGTTCGGTATAGAACAGTAAAATGAATTCTTTAAATGCTATAACATTTCTGTTTATATTCTAAGATGCTAGGTCTTAAGGAATTTATACAGCAGCACACTTACTGTAGCAGTAATGCATTTTGTAAGCTCCTTAAGAGAGGGCATAACCTTTTTGAACGTGTCCTCCAGGTTGCTGCTTGGCACACAGCAGTGGTGACTGGTGCTTGACCAGGCATTTTGAGTACTAGGGCTATAGTTTAGGACTGATAAAGTGTTGAGCTAAAAAGAGCCTGGATTCCCTAATAATGTTGTGGAGGCATCATATAAATCCTGAATTGCAGACCTCCAGACTTCTTTTGTATGGAAAGAAAATAAACTATCTGTTTAAGCCATTATTATAAAGGCTCTGTTTCCGAGTCAAAAGTAATTCCTAACAATATATGTGGTTTGGAGAAGAGGCAGAGGGAAGTAACATTTATTGAGAATCTGATATATATATAGTACTTTATATACTTTAGTTTATGTAATCATCAAAACAACAATATGCTTATAGTTGAGAAAATTAAAGATTAGTGACTCTTGTTTAGGTTGACACAGCTTAGTATTGAAACTAAGTCAGAATTTAAACCAAACCGTTTTCCCATCACAACATGCTAAACTGTCTTGTTTATAGCAGGTACCCAGACCTATGCTGATTACTAGCAATGGGGTACAACACATACATTATTATGCCCTCACTCGACAAGTAGTATAGAATGACATTTAAATAAATAACATTATTTATATTTAAATATGCAATAGAACAGAAACATACATCCACAGTTTGAGTCCTAATTCCCTCCATTATGAGCACATCAAACAATAGATATGGCATCAGGGCCATTTTAGTATATCCTCAGAACTTTTTGCTCTCAGGCCACGTATAACTCTAGGTTTTCTCTCTGGGATAGAATGGGAAGCCATTCACAATATCCATTAATCTATCTATCTATCCATGCATTCATATTTACTGAGCATCTACTATATGCTTGTAACAAAGTGTTGGGGTATTACTGGCACCTAGTAAGTAGAGGCCAGAGATGCTGCTAAATATCCTACAATGTATTATCCCACAACAAAGAATCATGCAATACAAAATGTCAGTAGTGCTTAGTTGAGAAACTCATTCTGTTGTAAGTGTATATTCATATTTATATTTTGTTTCTCCCACTCAACTGAAAGCTTGTGAAGAATAGGGATTTTGTATTATTCAACATCGTACATGCAGAAATTAACAGGTCTCATCTCTTACAGTTCTTTCCCTTCTGCTCCATAGTTACTGCTGTCACCTTCATCATCTCCCATATGCCTCTTTAATAGCCTCCTAAGTGGCTTCCTTGTCTCTAAACTATGCCTTCTACAAGTCTTTGCTATACTTTCTCTAGAATGATTTTTCTGGAACACAGACATTAACAGTTGACAAGCTCTACTTGGAACTGTGGCATAGCTTCTTACAAAATTCAGAATCCTTATGTCATTATAAATCCTTTTCCATTTGTTTCAACCATCTATTGCATATTTTATCTCATATTACAGCCATACATGACTTCTATTAGATCCTGATTTACTCCTATAGGAGTAAGTGCTGACTTACTCTTATAGGCCTGTGCTCTTACACCTTCCATTCCCTGTTCAGCTGGAGAATATTCAAACTCAGTTCAAGCATCTTCTCTGTAAAGTCGTTGTCAATTTCTTTCCTCCCACCTAAACCCCGGTAGGACTGACCACTCTTGTTTTGGTGCCCCCTACCATGTACCTTATACAAATTTCTATAAGAGTATTGAAAACCTCTTTATTGCATACATTAGTTTTTACAGGTGTCTCTCCTATTAAACTCTCAGCTCCTTGAAGACAGGGGCTGCTTTACATTTTTATTTTATGTCTCACTGAAACATGGTACATATTAATAGCTCAGTAAATACCTGTTGAATGAATCTGGCACAAGCTTCTATCATTACCAATGAGAAAACATGGTCCAGATATGTTTAATGCTACCCAAGAACACCTACCTAATGAGTGGCAGAGTAGGGAATAGAAGATGTATGTGCTGTCTGGCTTTAAATTAGGGCTCTTAGCACTATCCCAGGACACCGCCTCATCTGTTCAAAGAGAGGGCACCTAGGGCCCAACTTGGTAGGTTGTTAATTTGATTGAACAAATTTTAAAATCGATGACTGTGTATACTGCCAACAGAAAGAAGAAAAAGTCATTGAATATCTGATGATAAACTACTTTTTTTTCCTGTTGAGAGAAATGTGAGCTAGACAATTTTTAAATGATGTATTATTTGATTTTATTCTCATCTTCTTTTCTTTGCTCTGTTCCTTCTACCTGGTTGACCTCACTAAGTAGCATTTACTTAGATATTTTCAAAGAGTTCAAAATCTCTAAGTACATTCCAGCTGAAGATAAACTGTTACCACATTCTTCTTATTGATGGGAAAAAAAAAAAAAAAAAACCTGTCTCGGATTAAGAACTTACTATAAGTATTTCATACTTAAATAATCAATAGTAATTTGAAATTGCTTTTTTTGTTTGTTTGTTAAAGATAAAAAACAAAAAGACAGAGAGTAATAAATTTTAGGCTCCCTTGGAATTATGTGACCAAGTTGCCCAATATGAGGAGACTAAGTTTGTGGTAGGTTATGATTTTTTTCCCTGAATGACCATGAAGATAACTAACATGTCCTTTTCATTTGTGATCACAAATAAAACAGAACATTTAATTGATGAATACTTTTTATTTGGAATACTTAGATAGTTCTTAGTATATAACATTAATATGTAAAGGCCCTAAAGAGTCCATTAAAACTCTGCACAACAAGCTGCATTTTAATAATGCAGAGACTATGTGAGATAGAAACTAATTTCTACCATTTAGGTAACATAAGCAAAAACCAACTTCCTGAAAGAACTGAAGCTTATAAGTAAACAAGGTTTAAAATGCACACATTCTACAGATGGCAGAACTTAACATCAGCCCAAAAGCATAGGAAATAGAAAAGATTAAAAAAATTCTCTCCAAACCCAGGCTTCTTTTAAGTCTTCTGCTCAAAAGAGGATCGAGGATACTAATGAATATTCAACTCCTAGTGTCTTCTAATAATAAATTCCACTTCGAAACCTATGAAGTAAAACACACTTGCCCTATGATTAGTTTCTCTCAAAAGATAAAGTGGTCTTTCATATTCTTTTAGGAGTTCATGACATTTGAATATGAAAAACCTTGACATACCAAGATAAGGTGAAAAACCAACAGCCATTTTGCCTAAGTCTGTATATCAGCAAAACTTCTGACATATAGAAACCCTGTTCTACTTGGGCAACTTTTCATTTCAAAGAGGGGAAATTAATAGGGAAGAGGATTTTTCTCATCTTTATATCGAACATCCCACACGTCAAGACCTTGTCCTGCCATCATTCCTCACACAATCAGAGAGGCAGGTGATGGTATTATGAGTTCTGTCAGACTTACCCACCATGATTGCTAAAATCATCTTCCAACTTAGTCTCTCTCTCAGGAAGAAGCCGGAGGCCATGAAAACCACTCATTCATCACCTGCCACACCACAGTGATTCTCTGAGCAGACATCCTGGGCTGGCATAATTTGCTTGACAGCCCTGAGGTCAGCTTTGCTTAGTGACTGAAGAATCTTTTCTACCTTCAAATGTTATAATGTACTGTCCTTTGTATACATGGGTGATATTCCTGACCCACTATCAATGGTGGTAAATCTGAAAAGCAAAATGTAACC